TTCTAAGTTTGTTTTATCATTTATTTATTTATTCATCTTTACTTTATTAGTATTTTTATTAAACATTTTTCTTACATTTTTTTTTTCGATTGATTATTTTTGGGAGAATTTGGAAGATGTTTATAATTGTTTTCTTTCTTTTTCTTTCTTTTTCTTTCTTTCTTTCTCTTTCTTTCTTTCTCTTTCTTTCTTTCTTTCTTTCTTTCTTTCTTCTTGCTACTATTTCATTCTGTTTACGTCACTTTAAAATTTTCAAACTTTCATTTCTTTCATCCAATATATATTATTTTTACTACTTTTTAACTTTCTCTTCAGATACTTTTAACGATGAGATATTTGTTCTACTTTTCTTCCTATATTTCACATCACTTTAAATACTTTCTAACTTTTTTTAACAGTTAGTAATATTTAATATATATTTTCAAAGTCCTCATCAATCTCACTCTATAAAACTATCAATACTTTCCGCATAAACAACGACAAAAATAATTAAACTTTCCACAACTCGAAAAGTAGATCAAATTCTAACTATTTTCATTATCACTTTTTTCATAGTTTTTCACCCACATTTTCTGACTTGTTGTTGTTGTTGTTGTTGTTGTTGTTGTTGTTGTTGTTGTTGTTGTTGTTGATGTTGTATTCCGACGGGCCACTAAATATTGCCAGATGATGAACCATTATTTTTTTTCGACTCTGAAATGAAAAAAAATATATATATATTAGAAGGAATTTTATATACATGACAAAGTATATATTATTTGTATACGTTATCTATCTAACTATCTATCTATCAATTGTGTGTATTTAGCGTAATATCGACTTATTTTTGTCTCTCTCTCTCTCTCTCTCTCTCTCTCTCTCTCATCAACACAATTTACATCTTAATAGCCCACTTAATTAACACATTATGAAAATTTGCATACTGTACACGTCACATTAAATTACCACCGATTTTTGCCATTTAGTTATCAATTATATTTTTGATACATAATGTAATAGTAGGAGTAGTGGTCATGTGGTCGCCAGCTAACCTCTTTGAGCCACCATAGTGTGCGGCCACCAAAGAAATGATCCGGGAGAAGACTTGCCTCATAAACAAGTAACTCATGACGCTCCCCTGGCCCCATTAGCTCTTCAAATACTGGTCATAATACCCCATCTATTCTGTCAGAGGACACACGCAAGGTCTAGGGGCAAAGAAAATGTGACAGCAATGAAAAGGAGATTGACAATGTGGCAGAAAGGGGCCCTTGATGATCGCCTGTGTGAAGCAAGAACACGGCAGGAGAGTAAAGAATTCATAGGAGACGGAAAGCAAAACACAGAGGATTTTGCCAGAAAATTTGGTAACAAGAAGCGGGTGGGAAAAGTGTCCTTGGCGGTAAGATCTCTCACAGAGGAATCCTCCGGTGGGGTTCTGCCAATAAACAGAGAGACATTACAACAACTGAAGGAAAAACATCCCCCTGCAAGTGAAGAGGAAGGCATCAGGTTCCAGGGTGACTATATCCCACCAAATGCCGTCCTGTTCGAGAAAATAACAGGAGGGATGGTGTGGAAAAAGGCACTGAAGACTCAGGGAGGAGCCGGCCCTTCAGGTCTGGATGCAAACGGATGGAGAGTCATCCTCAGCACTAAGGTACAGTAGGCCAGTAGAAGGTTTGCCCTCTCAATGCGTGTGTGGCTCTTCCTATGACGTCGACCACGCCATGGTGTGCAAGAAAGGGGGCTTCATATGCATGAGGCATGACGAAGTAAGGGATCTAACAGCAAATATACTGAAGGAAATCTGCCACGACGTCATGGTGGAACCGCCCCTCCTTCCATTGGACGGTGAGAACCTCCGTCACAGGACTTCAAACACATCCAACGAAGCCCGTGTGGACGTCAGTGGTCGAGGATTCTGGACGCGGGGACAGCGAGCCTTCTTCTTCTTCCCATGGCCGCATGTCACCGTAACCTACCTCCCGATGCTGCAACACATCTAGGGTACAGTAGGTACTTATGTATTAAGATAGTTAATTTAAAGGTAATAAAATGGCGGAGAAGGTGTGGCTATTGGGGGGAATAATGGTGGTGGTGGTGGTGGTGGTGGTATTACCATCATTATCAAACTCACACACACACACACACACACACACACACACACACACACACAGGTCAAGTCCTACTAAAAGAGGATCACTGTAGATCATTATAACTCGTGGATCACATCATAAGCAGATCACGTTGATATACAGACGGATCACAGCAGAATTAGAGGTGTATCAAGGTGGATTACAGGCAGATCACATACAATTATACATGATGGATCAATATGGATTAGAGACAATGGATCGTCTGTCTGTCTGTCTCGATATTTTTAACCATCATTAAATTTCTCATTTTATTGTGAATTTTTAGTATATTAAGTTGTATGTGTGTGTGTGTGTGTGTGTGTGTGTGTTTGCTAAGTTATTCTTCTTTTACACACACACACACACACACTGGCACCTCTCTCTCTCTCTCTCTCTCTCTCTCTCTTGTCTCTTAACTGGTGCTAAGTGAACGTATCTAGTTAAGGTAGAGTCTCAGTGTTAATTCTAATGTTATTTTCGTTCGTTAATTAAATTCTAACATTTAACGAGAAAACATCAAACAAACAGACCTCGGTGTAACTCTGAGTCATGTTTATTGCCAATGTTTACACAATAAGAGGAAATACGATAAAGAAAACGGAAGTGGATGAAGAAAATGGCTTAGGGATACTTTAGTAAATGAGAATTCCCGGTAAGAGTTGGTGGGGGTGAGAGAGGGTGGGGGTAGAGAGGGAGGAGGGGGTAGAGGGGTGAGTGGGGGTAGAGAGGGGGATGATGTGATTGTGTGTGAGTGTGTGTGTGTGTGTGTGTATAGTGGTTCATTAACTAATAGGTTCAGGTGGTACGTATCTAAGGACCCTGTTAAGTTAAGGCCCGCTAGGTTAAGGCCCATTAGGTTAAGGTTAGGTTAGGTTAGGTTAGGGTTGGTTAGGTTAGGTTAGGATTACGTTAGGTTAGGCAGGTTAGGCTTACGTTAGGTTAGGGAGGTTGCCTAGTCTCAATATCCTGTACAGTACTCTCGGCCACAGAGCTATCCACTCATCCACGCTCACCCCTCCCTCCCCACCACCTTCCTCACCCCCTCCCACCTCCTTCACCTCCCCTCCTTCCTACCCCCCCATCCCACCTCCTTCACCCCTCCCTCCCACCTCTCAACCTCCCACTTTCTCCTCCCTCCTCATCTCCCTCCCCCCTCCCTCTTGAAGTCTGTCTGTTGCTTTACCCTGAAGGACGGATTGAATGTTGAGTTCAGAGGGGGGAGAGGGAGGGGTGAGAGGGAGGGGTGAGAGGGAGGGGTGGGAGGGAGGGGTGAGGGTTGAGGGTAAGGTAAGGAGTGAAGGGTAATGAAGGGAAGGAAAGGAAGAGGAGAGGGAGGGGAGAGATGAGAGAGAGAGAGAGAGAGAGAGAGAGAGAGAGAGAGAGAGAGAGAGAGAGAGAGAGAGAGCATGAATGGGGTAGAAATGATAAAAATAAAAATAAGTCTCTCTCTCTCTCTCTCTCTGTCAGCAGCTGAATGTCAATTTTATCACACAGGAAAGAGGTCCCCCAGACTACATCCGCTGGCGCCGTCCCCTCCACGCTTCTAACACCAAATGCATGGCTAGATTAGGTTAGGTTAGGTTAAGTTCAAATATTCTATAATTTTGTTGTATTTCCACTGGTTAGAACTGATAGAATAAGTTGTATAATCTATAAAGTTGTCTGTGAATAATTATACTCGTTTTAAATCTTATTATACTATTTCAGAATTAATTATATTCTCGTAGTTAATTAATTATTGTAGCTGAAGCTGTACCATGTTAGAGAGACTGTATGGTAATTAAAAATATTCCATACTTTGTCTTGTAATTTATCATACTCTTCTATGGTGAATTTTATGTAGTAATTAGTTATACCTTTTAGTAATTAATTGTACACTTGTAATTAATTATTTTCAAATTAATTATATAATTTTCGTAATTAATTATACACCTGTAATTAATTATCGATTTTGTAATTAATTATACTTTTTGTAATTAATTAGACATGTAATTAATTATACATTTGTAATTAACTATACTTTTTGTAATTAATTAAACATATGTAATTAACTATACCTTTGTAATTAACTATACAGGTATATCTATAATTAATTAGTTTTGCATTAATCACCTGCCATAACAGACCCAAGTCACGAGTGTCACTACAAAGGTAATTAATCAGAGCGCTGTTATGGCCGATATTAGCATCATTAATGACTCTTATAGGTGTTATTGTTAATGGCACCAATGTATTAACCTTTATTGCACGGTGATTGTAATGTTGCTCCGTCCAGTGTTGCAGGAATGATGAGTGATGTAGTTGGAGTTGTGTTTGTATTGTTGTAGTTGCATTAGAGGTGTTGCAAATGTTTTTTTAAACCTTTGTTGCAAGTGATTTTAATGGTTGCTACGTCCAGTGTTGCATAAATGAAGAGTCACATTAGTGTTGCTACTCCCAACTGTTGATATTATTGCAACGTGAGAGATTATTACAGTAGTTGATTTAAAATGTTGTTAATGTTGCAATTGTGTTATTACCACTATATGTTATTGCAATTACTTTCATGGTTATTGCAAAGGTTTAAATATGTGTTGCAAATTATCTTAATGTTATGTGACCAATATTACAAATAATACGAGTCTTATAGTTGTTTCGGGTACTAGCATTGATAAGGGGAGTACTTGCAATTGCATTATCGATTCCGTCTAATGATACGTCTATTTTCTGTCTATTTGTTGGCAGGGTGAGACAGTAGGTGTGTGGACAGGGTTTTGTTGACTGGGGATCACCTGAAGATTAGCCCCCCTAACCTAACCTAACCTAACCTAACCAAATATTTTAGTATTTTCATTGTATGTTATGAAAGCTTTAGTTAAGAAGTGATAATAATAATAATAATAATAATAATAATAATAATAATAATAATAATAATAATAATAATAATAATAATAACAGAGAGAGAATGTGAGAAAGAGAACTACCTCACAATTAAGTCATCAGAGAGAGAGAGAGAGAGAGAGAGAGAGAGAGAGAGAGAGAGAGAGAGACCTCACAATTAAGTCATCAGAGAGAGAGAGAGAGAGAGAGAGAGAGAGAGAGAGAGAGAGAGAGAGAGAGAGAGAGAGAGAGAGAGAGAGAGAGACCTCACAATTAAGTCATCAGGTAAAGGTTGGGACCACACGGACCACCTCCTGGTAATTGCTCCTCAAGAGACAACCAGAGGGATGAGGGTGAGGGGAGATGGGGGTGAGAGGAGATGGGGGAGGGTGAGAGGTGAGGGATGGGGTGAGGGCGAGGAGAGGTGAAGGGGTGAAGGGTGAGGGGAGAGGTGAGGGGTGAGGTGAAGGGTGAGGGAGAGGAGGGAGAGGATGAGGGATAGGAAGAGGGAAGGGAAGAAGAGAAAACAGAGAAGGGAAGAAGAAAAGAGGGAGAAGAGATGAGTGAAGAGGAGAAGGGAGAGAAGGTGAGTGAAGGGAGAGGAAAGTAGAGCTAAGAACAGGAGGAGAAAGATGGGAGAGGGAAAGGGGAGAAGTGAGAGGAAGAAAGAGTGCAGAGGAAAGGGAAGTGAGAGGGAGAAGGGAGAGGAAGAGAAAGGATAAGGGGAAAGAATGGGGGAAAGGGATAGGGAGACGGAAGGACGGAAGAGAGAGAGAGAGAGAGAGAGAGAGAGAGAGAGTCAATACTGCACTTAACTAACATAAATAACCTTCCCACAATGACCTCTCTCTCTCTCTCTCTCAATGTCTTTGTTCTGGAAGGCGATAATTGGGAAGTTGCTGTTGTTTTTGTTGTTATATTATTATTATTATTAACACAACTAGTATTACTACCACCACAACCACTGCTACAACTATTACGACTAATAACAACCACCAACCACCAACTACCACCCACAATCACCAACCACAACCCCACAAGTTAGACAGTACCCCACACACAGGGAGTGGTGGTAGGCAGGAGACGTAATGAGTCTTATCAAACACCTTTAATGCTGTACTGTACTGACATGAACACTGTCTCTTGGCCTATAGTGTTGTATGTTGTGTTGTGGTGTTGTGTGTTGTGGTGTGTTGTGGTGTGTTGTGGTGTGTGTGGTGTGTTGTGGTGTTGTGGTGTGTTGTGGTTGTGTGGGTGTTGTGGTGTGGTGTGGTGTGTGTGGTGTGTTGTGGTGTGTTGTGGTGTTGTGTGGGTGTTCATTATGTATTTCAAACAACAACAATAATAATAATAATAATAATAATAATAATAATAATAATAATAATAATAATACACAAAAGTTCCTAGGTAAAAAACAAAAACAAAACTATTGATGCTTCATAAACAATTAAGGCCTCTCTCTTCTCTTGTCACAGCCCACCAGCACTTACAGCACAATACTCTCTTTATTTTCACTCCTAACAAAAGATTCTTCAGAAAGACTTTACTTCCAGACCAAAAAATAATAAAATAATAAAATATTAATAATAATAATAATAATAATAATAATAATAATAATAATAATAATAATAATAATAATAATAATAATAATAATAATAATAATAATATAAAAAATAAATAAAAATAAAAAATAAATAAAAATGAAATATCTAGAAAATATAAAAATAAAAATAATAATAAAAATTAATAAAAATAAAATAAGATAAAATATTTAAAAATAATTATTTTCTTCAATTAATTTATTTGACCTCAATTAATGAGTAAGTGTGCATATTAATGAGTTATGTTTGAGTCTAATTAAAGGGGTAATTAGAGTGATAGAGAGTTATGGTAGAGGACTTAATTAACTATTGGCTTTGTTGTTGTGGTGGTGAAGGGAGTGGTGGTAGTTGTGGTTAAGTGAGTGGTGGTAGTTGTGGTTGGTGAGGGGTGGTAGTTGTGGTTGGTGAGGGGTGGTAGTTGAGGCCCCTCATAACACCATCTGGGAGGGAATTACTACACCACGTGAGGCCCTCCTCCTAACACCATCTGGGGGAACTACTACACCACGTGAGGTCCCTCATAACACCATCTGAAGGAGTTACTACACTACGTTTTTGCTGTTCAACACCTACATTAATCTGTATGTTCACTGTATGTTCCTTTACCTTTCTAATGAAGGCTTTTGTTAAACCACCAAAGTATGTAATAAGTCATTCATGTCCAATGTATATTTTCAGCCTTCGGGCTGCAGAACTTTTTCAATAAACCGTCAATTATTATTATTATTATTATTATTACACAACACACACACACACACACACACACACACACACACACCTCCCCTAACACCTTCTCTTCCCCCTCCCTTCCCCCCTTCACCACCAACCCCTCCCTCTCCTCACCCTCCCCTCTTCCCCCACCCTCCCTCCCTCCCCCACCCTCACCTCACCCTCCCCTCTTCCCCACCCTCCCTCCCTCCCCACCCTCCCTCCACCCCCCACCCTCCCTCCCTCCCCCACCCTCCCCTACCTCCATCCCTAAGACACTAAAATTGCATCACTTGTGTGTCAATCACCTCCTGACGAATCTCTTCCTTGTGTTCCTTCCTTGTGTCTCTCCCTTGTGTGTCTCTATTTGTGTTCTCCCTTGTGTCTTCACTTTGTGTCTCTCACTTGTACCTCACTCATACAGACACACAACCTCCTAACCTTACCATTAAGTAAAAACAAAAATATATTGACATTTTTAAGTTACACTCCAGACAGCACTTATAAAACACTTAAAAGGTCAGGTTGACATTTGTTAAGTGTTTCCCTTCTTTTATAAGTAAGTTAAGTAAACATTTCCTGTCATTTTTATCAGATATATAAAACCAACGACCTCCACACACACACACACACACACACACACACACACACTTACTTAGAAGACATACCTGTGAGGAATTACTTAAATCATTTTAATACCCTGAGTACGAGATTTCGAGTAAATGACTTATCCCTGAGTACGATGACTTAACACCTTGAGATGATCAATCCTTGAGTAGATTAAGATCCCTTGAGTACGATGACTTATCCCTTGAGTATTGATGATCCCTGAGTACGATGACTTAGCACCTGAAGAAAATATCCCTGTATTCAGAGAGTTAACACCTCGTACTGAAAGGGTTGTCATTGTACTGCTGGCTAAAACATTGTACTCAAGGGCTAAGTCATTGCACCAAGGCTAAGACATTGTACTCAAGGGTAAGCCATTACCAAGGGTTAAGTCATTGTAATTGCACAAGTCATTGTACTCAAGGATAAGACATTTTACACAAGGAGTTAAGTCATTGTACTAAAAGGGTTAAAACATTGTACCATAAGCAGTCATTGTACCTAAAGGGTTAAGTATCGTACTCAAGGGGTTGTCATCATGCTCATAAGTGTCATCGTACCAAGGGGTTAAGTCATCGTACTCAAGTTGCTATCGTACTCAAGGGTTGCTATCGTACTCAAGGGGTTAAGTCATCGTACTCAAGGGGTTGTTATCGTACTCAAGGTTAAGTCATCGTACTCAAGGAGTTGTTATCGTACCTGCGGGTTAAGTCATCGTACTCAAGGGGTTAAGTATCGTACCAAGGTATGTCATCATGCTCAAGGGTTAAGTCATCGTACTCAAGTTGTTATCGTACTCAAGGGGTTGTCATCATGCTCAAGGGGTTGTTATCGTACTCAAGGGGTTGCTATCACCAAGGGTTTAAGTCATCATGCTCAAGGTTAAGTCATCGTACTCAAGGTTGTCATCGTACTCAAGGCAAGTCATCGTACCTAGGTTGTTATCGTACTCAAGGGTTGTCATCGTACTCAAGGGGTTAAGTTATCGTACTCAAGGGGTTAAGTCATCATGCTCAAGGGGTTAAGTATACGGAGTTACTTATAAACAGCCTAACTTAGGATTTAAGTAAGTGAATAAGGTTACATCTTACTAAATAATTAACAGACAGAACCACACTTTACACCACACTTTTTGTAAGTAGAAGGCGGTTGACTTAAACTTTACATTACTTATAAATGATGGAACCTCAATCAAGTACAAGAATTTACTTAAATTCTACTTATGGTTAAACTTGGAGAAATTACAACTGGTTTACACTTATAAAAATCAACGCGTATAAGTGTTTTATCGTTTCCTAACATATTTCCTTGTGTTCGTAAGTATTTATAAGTATCAACACTTATATCATTACCAAAACACATATCACTTATACTACCACAAGCACCCATACACAACATTTAAGTAAATAAGTAAATTATACCTTCCGAGGATTTGAATCTTTTCTAAGTAACTTATCGTCGTAAACATTAAAATACACACACACACTAACACAAGGTTTTCAGTGTAAGGAATTAAAGTTTTCAAGTGACAAAAATAAACTCGAGCGTAGTGAATTGTTTACCCTGGCCAGCTGACTGTGGTGGTGGTCGACACACACGTCCTCACCCCACCGTAGTTCACCGTACACTGACTCACTCAACTCAAGTCAGTCGGCTAACTCTCTCTCTCTCTCTCTCTCTCTCGTCGCCTGATAAATGTTTGTTATCTGTCATTTAATCTTCGGGGCGCCTTCTTTCTCCTCTTCTTCCACCTCCTTATCCACCTCCTTCCCTTCTTCTTCTTCTTCTTCTTCTTCCTTCCCCCCATCTCTACCTGTTTTCTCTCTTTCCCCTCACCTCACCTTGTTCACTCTCTCCCTTCCCTCACCTTTCCCCTCACACAACATCAAGGATTCTCAATTGGACTTTCCTCAAGCCAACTTTCCCCTCGGTAGACCAATAATACCTTTCCTTAGCTTTCACCAACTAGAAAATATACTTTGAAACATTTTCTTGTTCACTTATAATGTCAAAGGTTATATACAAGTAAAAGTTTTATCCAAGAGAAAGTTTAAGCCATTGAAAAGCTTTATTATCCAACCCAGCTTATTTCACCTGACGATTAACCACCCTTACACCTCCACTATCTTAAACCAGGACGTAAAAAACACAAGAACATATTCACCCTTAAGCTGTTCTAATGAATAATTGAAGTGATAATCAAAGCCCAAGTTATGAATGTTTAATAGCTCTCTAATGTGGTAGTTGACCCGTATTATGCGATAAACCCACACTGGGGCACTTAACTCAACGCATACACCGCCCCTCGTTACCAAGCGTTTGATGAACGTTACCCAAAGCCAGAGCCAAACGATCTCATACGGACACGGATGAACGACATTAATTCCCATCTAGTTATATTTTCTTTCACTTTTTTCCCCTCCGGGTTAACATAAATGAATATAAAAGTTTCTGAATCAATATGTACATTATGAGAACATTTTGTTTTCGTTTTACCCAAGATCAGAATATATAATGTACGATTCTTTGTTCTTTAAGTATATTTTTAATACTAGACACAGAGGCAGACCTTGGGATTGTAGGGCTACGAGTGTGTGTGTTTAAATTGTACTGATAGACAAAAAACGTACGAAAGAAGTACTGGTAAGTTGTAGAATACGATGAGATACTTTAGTCGCATTATTAGGGGTCAGAGGATAATGGTAGGGGTATTAAGGTAAACTAAGGGTAGGGGGGCCAGGGAAAGAAGACACGATACTAAGATGGATGACAGGAATTAAAGGTTATAAGTCCCTTTAAACACACAACATCGGTAGGACTCGTAAACACACCCCGAGAACGATTGACTGTGGTGGGCCGTGGTCGCCAACCCTCATTACACAAATTCAATGTAAAACTACACCAAATAAACTTTTCCTAATAAACTAAATGACTAAACCTCAATAAAACCCAAGTAATTTACTCTGATAAGTTAAAGTCTGAGTACACTTGTCCCCGACGTCTGATTGGTTGACTCACTCATGGACTAACTAACCAGAGACGCAACTCAAATATCACGTGAACAAACATTATATTTAGTCAACATAACAAAATAATCTCATGCGCTCGTTTATATAAATTGTATAATATAAAAAAAAAACTGGCAATGCAAATTTCACAGGACAATTATTTATACATGCAGCAGATAGTGAAATTATGGTATTTATGAAGATCAGAGGCGTAGTTATTTTAATTATGGCTGTTGCGGTTTCATGCATTTAAAATATTTCATTTAAGAAAAAATAAATAAACGAAACCTTACCTAAACAATCAGATCGTTAGGCTTGGTTTACTTGGGTTCAGTGGGTTTGGTTAGGTTCCGTATAGGTTTGGTTAGGTTCCGTATAGGTTTGGTTAGGTTCCGTATAGGTTTGGTTAGGTTCCGTATAGGTTTGGTTAGGTTCCGTATAGGTTTGGTTAGGTTCCGTAAAGGTTTGGTAGGTTCCGTAAAGGTTTGGTTAGGTTCCGTATAGGTTTGGTTAGGTTCCGTAAAGGTTTGTTTGGGTTCCGTATAGGTTTGGTTAGGTTCCGTAAAGGTTTGGTTGGGTTCCGTATAGGTTTGGTTAGGTTCCGTATAGGTTTGGTTAGGTTCAGCTAATGGTATAATTTAGTATATTTCTACTTAAAAAATATAATAAACAACAATTTTCTAACCTTATGCGTTCTTAAGTTGGTTTCCATAAGAGGGAATAAGAACTTACACTAAATAAATTAACTTTGGGTTTTAAATATGACGTCAACTCGACTGTCAACACAGGTCCTTGTTGACAGTCGGGCGAGGAGCGACTACGGTATTAAAACATTTAAGAATAAAACACAAACCAAATAAACTTAAAAGTGAATAACTCAGTCTATTTATATGAAAAAAATAAATAAAATTGTTTAGTTAAAATAGTTTAGTTAGTTGTGTGTTAGTATATGTAAATGATTTAGTGTCGTAGCCTCACAGACCGTCGACCAGGATGGAGAACCAGTTTTCATTATATTTTAAACGTTATCAAGTGATTTTAATGAGCAAATTGACACTTCTGCTTAAGCAAATTAAAACGAAAATACTTAGGGAATATTGTAGTAGGATTTTTTTTTGTGTTTAATATATTATTAAGGAGAAATATATTAGAGAAATATATTCCTTGTAATACGTAACAAACCATTTTTATATTTTTGTCTTTATTTATTTTTCTCGTTATTTTATTTTATTTCAATTGAATTTTTACTTAGATGTATTCCAACTGGTTCAATAAAGTGCGTTAGTTGTTTTATTATTGAGAGATCTTAAGTGAGTTTCTGCCTAGTCACTTCACCTTAGATCTCTCTCTCTCTCTCTCTCTATCTCCCTCTTTCAATTACATTTTTTCTATCTCTCCGTTATCTTGCTCACTATTCATACCTGTTATCCCTTTTCGCTTATTCTCTCTATTTTCTTAATCGCTTTTCCTCTAGTTCCTGTTTATCGTGTTTTATTGCTGTTTGTAATTACTGATTTTATCACCTGTGTCTTTGTCTTGTTTATTCATAAAACTATTACACTGATTTTATTGAAACTTAAAAAAATATATTAATTATT